TTAAATCAAAGGTGCTTCGTACTTTGGAAACAGATGAAAAACAATAGATATGTTTCGGTAGTTGACTGTGTTAATAGTTGGCTTACCAGTTGTGCTGAACTTGCTAACTGGGAGAACTAATAGCAACTGATTATAAAGTGTAATAAAATATTTGTTCGAATGTCATTCTACAAGATGCTGAAACATTTCCCTTAATAACATTTTTTTTCCTACACTTTCATTTAACCCTAACTCTATAATTCAAATCTTTGGCCAAGACTATAGTCTCTATTCAACCATCCACTTTTAGCTACTTTGGTTACTTATATTTAGGGTTTCATTATCAGGTTACTTTTGTTGTTACCCACTTCAATGATCCAAGGATTTTGAGTGCTGAACTGAGGGATCTTCTTCTCCAGTCAATTTCCGTCTTGGTACAGTACAAGGAATTTTTAGCTGCTTTTGAGTGCAATGAAGCTGCAACCCAAAGGTTGCCAACGGCTTTATTAGCAGCCTTTGATAATAGATCATGGATTCCTGTGACCAATATACTTCTGAGGTTATGCAAGGGTTCTGGCTTTGGTTTTCCAAAGCGTGGAGAGTCATCATCCTCGTCAGTCATATTTCAGGTTAGTACAATTTTTTTAGTTGTGGCTGCAACATTTTGTCACGTTCTTTTTTTCTTTTGGAATTATGTTTCACTTGTATTGAATTTGTTTCTTGCATTATCTTTCAATTTTAAAAGAAAATGTTGCGGGAAGCTTGCATTAGCAATGAAGAATTATTCTCAGCTTTCCTCAATCGCTTGTTTAACACTCTTAGCTGGGCCATGACTGAATTTTCTGTTTCAATTCGTGAAATGCAAGAAACTTACAAGGTAATTTCACTTGGTTTTGTAATATTTATCCCCCTTTCTCTTCCTTCACTATTATGCGAAGTTGAAATGGATGTATCATTTCAGGTGATGGACTTCCAACAGAGGAAATGTAGTGTTATATTTGACCTCACCTGCAATCTTGCAAGGGTATTAGAGTTTTGTACTCGCGAGATGTCTCAATCTTTTTTGTTGGGAACAGATACAAACTTGCGAAGGCTGACTGAATTGATTGTTTTTATACTGAATCATTTAATTTCTGCAGCCGATCCGGAGCTATTTGACCTGTAAGTTTATATATGAAGTATAACGAATGTTGCTTCTTTCTAGCATGAGGGTCCGAGTTGCTATATTTCTATCTGTTTTAGTTTGTTACTTAATTGCAACTGTGTAGACTTTTTATGCCGCGGGACAAGCAACAAATTCTTTAATCTTTTAGTTAATCCGCCTTTCACTATAAAATTGTATCAGTTAACATAAAATGATATTATTTCTTTCCTTTTTTGTGTGAAGAACAGCAATATGAAATTACATGTGTTCCTCCAGTTTGCTCTTTCTGGATATTACTCAAAAGATAATACTAGGTTCTCCTTGTGTTATAATGTCTTTATTGTATAGCCATAAAATTCTTCCGTTGCTAATGAGCTTCCATTGCCCCTCGGTGTTCTCGACATGTTGTAGAAATGTGTATTTATCTAATTTTGTCAGTTATATTATATATGGAGCAGTAATGTATTTATTTATTTTTTGTCAAGTATAATATCTATGGAAGTGTCATGGGTCCATTTTTGAGAAATTATAAAATATTTGGCTTCAAAGCTCCATTTTTACTCCTGCCCTCATCCATTTGCATGTTACTTTGCAGAACGCTTAGACGTCCTGGTCAATTTACTGAGAAGGTTAACAGAGGCATGATTTTAGCACCGCTGGCTGGCATTGTGCTGAATTTGTTGGATGCTAGTAGAGAGAGAGACTGTGGGGAGCGGAATGATATTGTTGCAGTATTTGCTAGTATGGACTGTGCTGATACCATTCTCTGTGGATTTCAGTATCTCATTGAGTATGATTGGGTTCGTATTAACTTCCTGATGTTTTTGGTTTTATTCAAGGTTTTAGACGTTTAACAGTGCAGTCATATCATTCCTATTCATGAGTACCCGCCATTCATAACTTGGAACAAGGGAAAGAAAAAATGAGAATGCTTAGGAAATCACTAGGTCCTTCGCCATAATCTAAGATGAGAGAAATGAAAACAAGATGAATAATGGGGGGAATTTCTCCATGTTATCATGGCTTTCATATTAATCTCCTGCCACCCTATACATAGTTTTTGAAATTTTATGATAGTTTCAATTTTATATCATTTGTTTTCCTTTCCTTTTTTGTCATATCCGCAATCCATATGAAACAAGACAGTTTCATTAGGTTCACTTTGCAATTGTAATCTTTAATTTGTAATAATTGGTACTCCTGGGATCACTGCTTGAGGTTGAAAATTTCCTCATGCTGAACTTTGAGGCCAAGCCAACACAAGCCATTTGTTGGCTTGGCCATGTAAAGAAAAAACTGGATCTAGAACATGTTTAACTCACATGGGGTTCAGATATCCCTGCTTGATTGGCAAAGTAAGGTTGAGCTCTGCATACTTTGCTCTTCAGTGTCAGAGTACTGGTGAACCAGTGCGCACTTACACGATTTAAGCATGTGCTTGTGGGCGCATAATTGCCAGCTAAAGTAACACCTTACTCTCTAGCATGACCAATTCTATGGGCACGTTTTTAAAATAGAATAGCAAAGGTGTAGGCGATATGACAGCAAAAGCACTCTTGTTTGGCATGTTTTGGTTGAGATGTCTATTTGTTTTCAGCAGAAATTCTGAATGATTACTCGTCTGTTATCTTATCTTCTGCATGTAGGACTTGCCAATTTATTACTCATAATCTTCTTCATCAATTTGCCAGACAGGGTCCGTAAGAGGGGACGATCATCTTGGTAAATTAGCACAACTAGAAAATTTTTCAAGCATGTTGATCTGTCAGGCAGAATTGCAAGAAGTTCAGAAGAGAATTTTTCAGGGAGAATCAGATGCTGATGATGGCATGTGCTGCATATGTTATGCTTCTGAAGCAAATGCTGAATTTGTACCGTGTTCCCATGTTTCTTGCTATGGTTGCATATCGAGGCACCTCCTCAATTGCCAAAGATGCTTCTTTTGCAATGCAACAGTCGCAGGAGTTGTTAGGAAGGATGCAAATGCTCAATGAAGTCTGGCACTTCATGTATTTTTTTTCATTTAGCTGGTCCAAAATTGGCAAGTTTTTTTGGACATAGAACTAGTAGTCATATTTAATTTTTTAGATAGAATATATATACTAGTATAGATGCTAGTTACTGGTGTAAATGATGAAGATAGAAACTCATCGGTTCTTTTGGTATGGGGTTATGAATTTTGTAGCCAAGTCGGAGGGCATTATTTTGTAAATATTCGAGGTGCAAATGGAAATAAACCAGAGTAGCGCGAACATCCTTACACGTGTTTATTATTATTTTTAATGATATTTCCATACATCTTTTAGAAGGTATAAATTTGATTTTTCCACAATGAAATTAGTTTTGAACATGTACAATGATACGGTGTGCATGGATGGCCAAAGAAACACCCCGTTGGAGTGAGAGGAGTTGAGATTTGTCATATTCAAGTAAAAGCATATTCGAGAGACATTAAAGTCGTGATCTCTAATATAGAGAGTTAATGCTTAAATTTAAAATTTAAGATACTGTCTTTTTGACTTTTTAAAAGAGAGATTGCTTTTGATTTTTCGAATTTGGAGAGTCTAACTTGGTCTACATTTTTATTCTATAATGAATTGAAATCTTGGGAGTGAACGGAATTTTTTATTAAGATTGTAATAGAAATTAAATCGTTCATAAACATCAAATTGTGTCGAAATCAACAAATAAGATGCAATAGATTAAAGTACGCTTTTAGACAAAAAAATCCGAGTTTACCTTAAAGTTTGGTGATTGAGAAAATGAATTAGCTTGTAAAATTCATTCCAACACAAAAACAATGGTGCCAAGATGGTTAAACGCAAGCAATGATCGAAAATTAGAGGTAATTATGCTTTAATTTTCATTGAGATAGATTTTAGGGAATGAATGTGATGAGAGAGAAAAATTAATTATCATCTTAGATCATATTTTTATCTTGTATAAATAAACTATTATCTATTTTCACATAATTAAATCCTACTTGGCGCCGCTAAATTTTAATGTATAAATAAACAATATTATTTATGATGCAAAGTCGGGAAGCCCGAGAGCCAAGAATTGGAGAATGCGTGATTCAAAAATATGAAAAAGTTTTTGATTTGTATGTAATATTATTTTATTTATGAATATATGGTTGAAAATAAAAAAAGATAAAAATATATTTTAGAAATAATGAATACCTAACAAGGGCTAAATATAAATAATGTACCGTGACTTTAATTTTCGTTAGACTTTTCAGCTTAAATTGTTAATATCAAGCTTCTTTACAATGATTTTTGCTAACTCAGTACAATAAATAACGTTATTTGATGACAAATCGACTTTTAATATGGCTACGTAAAATTTAATATATGTTGAAAAAAATATAGGAAAATCTGAAAACTTAATGAACTCCAAGGCACAAAAAAAGGTTATCTTTTAAGAGATGTTTCTCCCCTATCCAATAAAGTCACGATTGGGGTATGATAGAAAATCTCTCTCAGGATACAATGGAGGCATTTGATTCAAATGGTGACTATTTGATCAAACCAAGAAGACACTCGAAAAGGAACTGATGATGCCAAGAGAAAGAGAGGGCGTTGCCCCCCAGCCCCTACGGGGGGAGCTGCCCCCGCGACCAGATCGGACAGGTCGATCCCAGTTGCGCAGCGACAAACACTAGTCGGGACGGCAAATCATTCGCCAAAAAAAAAAAAAAACATGCAAAATGATGAAAAATATCTAACAATATTTAATATTAATTTAGAGATTATTATCGTAAAAAAAATAATTACGGTTTCAAAGAAACGGATAATTCACTTTCATTCTAGTACTAACTCACAGCCCCCACCGAAAACTACGTTAGCGGAAGAATATGGTTCCACGTAACGACACCTCACCGGACACAACTTTACATTCCTCCGAAATAACACAACCTTATACTCCTCTCTCGAGTCATCATCTAGATTCTCGTCTTCCCTCATGGCGTTGGCTGCGCGGCCGGTTTTCTGTGAGCTCAAGCCGGATAAACAGGCGGCGCCGTTGCAGGTGCAGAAGCCGAAACTGGTGGAGCTCCCACTGCCACAAACGTCGTCTGATAATGGAAAAATTGTGCTCCAGCCGAGGCTTTGTACGCTTAGATCATATGGTGGTGGTGATCGTGTAGGTGTAATCAAGACCAAGAATACTGTCAACGGAGATGATCAAGTTTCGCCTTTTTTCGTGACATTAACTGAATATATAGAGAGCTCCAAGAACAGTCAGGACTTTGAGATCATCTCTGGTCGCCTTGCCATGGTAATTCTCCTTTTATTCGTTTTCATTTTTTATTTATTTTTTACAAGTCTATGTTATTAAAACTTGATATCTAAGAGGAGCATAACAAACCCTTATATATTAATTTATATTCGGATAGTTAATCGATCTGAAATTTATTCATTAACATGTCCTACAAAATTATGCTCCAAGCAGATCAATCAATACTGAAATTCGTAGGCTCGATTGAGTCTTAGTCGAAAATTGCTTGATTAAGCTTAATACTTGATGTTTCATCTTAAAATTTCAAGAAGAGTAGTCAAAATTGTTCGTTTATATTTCTGTAATTAGTCGACGTGAAATTTATCCCTAAATATTGCAGGTGGTGTTTGCAGCGACAGTAGGCATAGAGATGGTGACTGGAAATTCTGTATTCAGAAAAATGGATTTGCAAGGTATTGAAGAAGGTGCGGGGGTATGCTTGGTGGCAGTGACGACTGCGGCAATTTTCGCATGGTTATCCAGTGCTCGTAAAGGGGTAGGTCAAATGTTTACCATTCGTTGCAATACGTTGATCGACTCACTCATCGATCAAATCATCGATGGTTTATTTTATGAAGTTGATCCAAGTGATTGGTCTGATGATCAATTTTAGTGAATCAAATGTGATTATTGAAGTAGTTGTAGATAGCAGTAGAATATATACGAACATTTGATCATCATAAGGAGTTGATTTTAGTGAAGGGATAATTGCACTTTTGGTACCCAATATTCGTGTTCATTACCACTATGATTCAAATTTTCATTTTTCTGTCTTCTTCTTCTTTTTTTTTTTTTTTTAGTGACTTTAAAAATTTTCTTTTGTTCATAGCAGAAAGGTTCGCAACCCGTATTCTTTTCTTGATTTTTGTTGCACGTAATAAGTATTTGCTTTTCTTTAGAGAAATTTGAAGGAGAGGTCTCAAACGTTAGAAAATATGTCATCGGGTTTTGAACCTTTTATAATCTTAACACATGCATCCCATATAAAAAGGTTGAACCCCAATATTGATGGCCCCTACCGTCCCGTCCCTGGAGTATCGTGAGGAAGATAAATCGTGGGATATGCCTCAGCAGGCCAGAGAACAAGAGTTTGTCCGTACACTGGTGCTCATAAAGAGTCCAATTCCATATCTCACATTGCGGCTGCCAGTAAGATTGCGACTACTTCACTCTGATCCTTTACACTACTAGGTTATTCCTCAAGGGGCGCATCCCATATCTTTTGATGATATATGTGCGTATGAGGGACCTTTGAATAGTTTTCGCCCAAAAATCGTCAATTGACTAAGTCAATCAATCGTACCTAATTGAAGACCAAAAAGGTCTCTTAACATTTATAAATAATTGTAAAAATTTAAAAATGAGAAACAAAAATAATTAAATAAAATATTTTTCATTTCCAATCGCACCAACGAAGGAGGCGAGGATTTCTCCCCTGGTACATGTCCCAACACTTGAGGTCACCAAACCAGAGAGAAAATGAAAATCTTGTTGGTTTTGTAAAAATCACACTCCAAGTTTCAGTTGCAAAACCGGGGCTCAATTAGCGTGTAACCTAAATCGAATTGGGACGACTCGAACACATGTAATATTTATACTTTTATGACTTGCAAACTCGATATTTATCTAGTATATATTGGACATTTGCATAACAAATTCAGGGCCTGTTTGAGCCACATTATTCCAAAAAATACATTTTAAAACAGTGATTTGACATCATTTCAACCACATATTTTTCAATAAAATAATATTACACGTAAATCAAAAAAATTTTCTTATTTTTTAACCACACATTTCCCATCAATACACTATTTAAGAATGCATTACTACCAAAATAATGTGGCTTAAACACCCTCTCAATATTTTTCCAATGAATTGGAACTTGGTAGGGATGTAAACGAGCCGAGCTGAGCCGGCTCGCGAGCCGAAATTTTGGGCTTGGGCTCGCTCGAGTAAATCGTAATGGGCTTTTTTTGGGCCCGAGCTGAGCCAAAGCTCGGCCAAAAAAATAAGGCTTGGGCTTTTTACGAGCCGAGCCGGCTCAGTTTTTTATTTTTATTTTTTTATTTTTTTGCAATTTTTAATGACTTTTTTTCACATGCTAATTGTTGTGGTGTAAATTGTTGAATGATATTTTTTTGAAAGAATTTAAAAATTGCATCATTTATTATTTATACAAATTACAAATTAAATAAAAGTATAACTTTCAAAATTATGTAATTTATACGAATAACAAAATAAATAAAAGTTACAAATTACAACCCTCATCCTTTTTCCGGGCTTGGGACCGTCTACAATCAACGTAGGCGGAGTTAAAATTGTACACGAATAAAATATTTCGTATACAATTTTCTTGAATCAAATAAATTTAAAAAATACATTTCTTAAAGAAAAATAATTAATTTAAAAACTTACAATATCCTATGTTTGGATATGCTGTAACTTTTTGGCCATTATACTATCAACATGTTCTTGAACACGTAATTTTGCACATTTACAATCCTTTAAACATATCAAAGCCTCCAATATATCTTCTTTTAGTCTTGATCGTTCATCTGATAAAATTCGACCACTTAAACTGAATACAGCCTCCGATGCTACCGTAGATACCGGAGGTGTTAGTAAATCACGTGCAATTTTTGATACAATTGGATATTGCCTTTCGTTACATCTCCACCAATTTAAAAGACTAAATTCTTGTAATTCGTTCGGTTGCAACACACTACGAACATCCACGCACATATACCTAGCTAACTCAGAAGGAATTTCAAGATTTGTACCACCAATATTGATTGCTCTAGATGTTGATGAGTTAGAACTAGAACTAAATGAAGGAGCACTTGTATTGCTATCTAAATAATTCCATAAATTTTCGGGATTTGTTGAAATATTTCTTGAAAAAGAACTTTGAGAAGTAGAACTACGCTGACCTTCCTTTTCAGCATAATAATTATATATTTCACATAAAAAAGATTCTATCTGCACGTGTGATAATTCTATATTCAAAAAATCTGATATCCCCTTTACAGTAGTTTTTGTGCCAGTTAAATTAAGTCGAGGGTCCATTACTGAAGCTAAAAGAAATAAAGAAGGCAACTCTTCCCAATATTTACAAAATTTTAATTCCATAGAGCCAACTACATCAGCAAAAAGTGGCAAATTCCTATATTTATGAAATGCTTGTGAAATGTAGAAAAAATGTTGTCTAATAAACACCGCTACATTCCTTTGTAGCATCGAAAAAAGGTTGTAAGAATTTTTTCACGTAAAATGCAATAGTCCATTTCCAATCTTCCAAATTATGTTCGGGTCCGAGTGTATGCCTACCATTATAATATAGTGAAATCACTTTATCGTAATTTTCACACGAATGTAACATAAGATATGTAGAGTTCCACTTGTGTGTTACATCAGTGGCAAATGATTTCTCCTGTAATCCATACTCTGCACACAAACTATTAAATGCTTGTCTTCTTACTGGTGACACAGTAATAAAATTTATTGCTTGTCTAATTTTATCTAAAGGTGAACTTATATGTTCTAATCCAGTTTTTACAATCAAATTAATAATATGACATACGCAACGTTGATGAAAAAATAAATTTCCAAATACGGGGTTAAGATCAACAATAAATCTTTCAATAACAACTTTGTTCACTGCAGCAATATCAAAAGTAAAACTTCGAACCATATCTTGTATACCATTCCTGTATGATATCTTTTAAAACCATGTATTTATTAGTGGCATTATGGGGAAATTCTACACATCTGAATGCAATAATTCTTTTATGTAGAAGCAACAGGTGATCAATGTAATGAGCCGTAGCAGCAATATAACCTTTTCTATTACAACCAGTCCATAAATCAGAAGTAAACGATATGACACTATTAAAACTTTTTAGACCTTCAATAGTAATTTGTTTTCTTCTGTTATAAAATTTTATGCTATTCGAACGAAGAGTATTTCTAGAATAAGAAGAATACCTGGGTTGGAGATATTTCTGCACGAGTCGGGTAAAGTGTATTGGGTCTATCATTGTAAGCGGCATCTCTGCTGCAGCCACGTATGCAGCCATTCCTTCACGAAATCTTTCCTGTGAATATACAAAGG